CTTCTGTTTTTCTCTAGAGTGGTTGGCTAAGATTATAATAATTAAACGATCTTTTTTTAAAGAGGCGCATTACACACATAGTGGTGCATAATGGCAATGGTCATTGTACATTGTACCTGCCAATCCACAGAACAGTTGCTTCCCAGTATGATGAATAATGTCCCTCTAAATGTCCCTCTAAATTACGTCTTAATTACAATGTCTATTTTATCAGGAACCTCTAATTTAAAAGCATTGCTAATGCCTAGGTCACATTTGCTCTACGACTATAGGTAACGGCGGCCGTACGCCCCCAAAATCGAGAGATATTTACGGCGGCCGCAGGAAATCTGCGGTGGCCTCACGGTCATCCTAGGGCGTATGCCTATCTTTTCAGGCCGTATACGTGTCGCCGTAGGATTATAACGCGGAGTTATAACTGTTTTCATTTCTAGGTTCGATGTAGCGATTAGACATGCCGTATGATGCCGTAGAGTGGTTCCACGGCGACCGTACGTCGGGCGTACGGTAGCCTTGCGTTTTATATACTCCAGGGGTAAAGCGGTAGCATCAATCTAGCCGCACGGTTCCCTTTGGCCGCCTTGCTGGCACCTTGCGGCTACCTTGCGTCTGCCTTAGTATTTGTCAAAAAGCGACGGCCGCCGCAAGGACGCCCTAAGGCGACCGTGCGTCATCAGTATCACTTCAAAGGCCGTACATATGTTCTGTTTCCACAAATTAAAAATATGCCGAGCGGCTACCCTCACATAATCTGACCGTTACCGTATGTGACCGTGGGAATGCTGCGGCGCACAGTGGGCCAGAGAGGAACCAAAGTGCGCCAAAACTCATGTTTGGGGATTTATTTTTTATAAACCTAGAGGAAATGTTTGGATTTCCAGGGATTTTCGCTTCAATTTTATTACCAACATTTTCTCTGATGTCTAAGCTTTAAGTTGATACCAGATTTGGCTGCCCGATTCTGCCCGTTATTATGTTAGAGCCGTTTTCCTTGCAACATTGCCCCGGAAACTGTGTTTATTTTGGTCCGCGGTGTCAGAACAAGTGTCACGCGCCCCCTCGCGCCACGAATCCTTCATGATTCAGCCGCGGACCCCAAAAACCCACATTTTTCGGGGCAATGTGTTAAGGAAAATCGGCTCTAACATAACAACAGGCAAGATCGGGCAGCCTAAAGCTTAGACATCAGAGGAAATGGTGGTATTAAAATTTAAGCGGTACACCGCGGAGATCTAAACATTTCTTCTGAATTTATAAAAAACATGGATAATTAGTCCATTTTTCAGTAAATTACCCTATAATATATCATGAAGATTGTGTTTCTATTAATTTTAACCCATTCATTCAACGAAATGAACAATCAGGAATATGTGAGAGCAACTTCTTATCAATAACTTAAAAACTTCATGTTGAATTGAAAGATTTATAAAATAAGTCACTTTTGCACTAAAACTGTGAATATGTAGGATTTTGCTGTTTGAAGTAGTAAATTTATACCCTTATTGTGCATACCGGAATTAAATATTTCACTGAGGTAATCTTCTATGTAATATCTTTCAACTGGGCAAGAACAAAATTGAAAAAAAAATCACCCAAACTTAGTTTTGGCGCACTTTGGTTCCTCCCTGGCCCACTGTGCGGCGGTCCTATTGCTTTTGGCCGTGGATATTTTAAACCGCACGGCCGCCGCTGCATGTGTGACCTAGGCATTAACAATACTTTTTATCACCTTCCACTTACTATCTATCATATGCATTGAGTATCATATGAGACGTGGTCACAGTACATATTTATTTATATTATCTATATGTAATACCCCTATAGAGATATACTCTGTGTGTGTTATACCCCTATAGAGATATACTATGTGCTGTGTTATACTCCTATACAGATATACTCTTTGATGACTCATTAATAAATACCCACTCCACTTTAGTTAGTAAATACCCACTCCACTTTAGTTAGTAAATGCCCACCCCTTTGTTCCTAACTTTGTATTGTTTAGTAAGTTTATGTGAGTTTGCTATGTCCAGTGAGCACAGTACAGACTAAGGATTAATCCCCCCCAGTTTAGTAAACATTACCCTACCAGCATAAATGGACGAACTTGGAGATTAAGACTTGAGCAGGGATCGGTCAGCATGCATAGTGTACAACATGTGTCATTCTACATTTTGAGTGAGCACTGAGTACACCAACTGACTTGTTTCTCCTCATCTTTGATTATTTCCAGGTAAGACAATATTATTTCTGTCAATTATTTTGATATTAGTATGTATACATGTATATTGTATATGTTATATATTCATGCTAAAGTAATACATTTTACTGGTATTCCATCCTTAGTATTTAGTAGTATAGTTTGTTATTAGAGTAGTCATTTTGATGTGATGATTTAAAGGGTCATTACTACTTTTGAGATTCAGTTTAGTGTTTGTTAAACTACACTTTGAGGTTATTTCTTATAGTCAATTGTTAGTTTTATTGGCTGAAATAATATAACTTGTATTAAATAATCCTTGATTATTTAAGGGAGTTTACTTGGATACCGTTTGATGATAATGGTATGACTTCTTTATTAGTATGTATGTTCATGAGAACATAAGGATAGTTAAAGGAAAAGTCATGGTTTATATGAACATGGTATCTTAGATATAAACATGATCCGGGTTAGTTCTCGGGTTTGTATATTGTAATTGGTTAGCGTATAGAATACATTCACAGGTAGTATTTAGCAATTTCAAAGGAACATGCTTAAGGATGAAATTGTTAAGAAGTGTGATGTACAAGACGTTTGATATTAATTGTTTGGTTATGTATCCATTAGGATAAGAAGACGGAAAACATTATAATTCTAGAATGTTTGTTCTTACAATATTGCTATTGTATGATGATTTCTGTTATTCGTTGATTGTAAGTGCCCCCTTTTAATTACCGTAAGTGTCCGTTTTCAAAACTGGTCATTGCCCCTTTTCAAATGTGATACATGCCCTTTTACCTCTAATAATTCCCCTTTTTTCAGGTACGAGAAGTTACTTCAAATGCCCATATCCTATTTTCATAAGTGCCTTTTATCGTCCCTGGTGAGTGCCTCTTTTTGAAGGTGTAAGACGTGCCCCACGTTAACCTCTGATAACTACTCTTTGTACTTTGGATAAGTGTCCCCTTCTCCTTTCATCACGCCCCTAATTTCAAGCGACTAAGAGTACCTCCCCCTATATAAAGCTTGGTCTCAAAGCTCACTCGCTTTTATAGATGATATACTTATGCTATTTATCAAAGGGCTTTTCAGTCTTTTGTTATGAGAATGGGCTTATAACCCCACTAGGATTGGGATTTTTCTTATTTATAAAATGTAATTTTACGCACTGAACTCACAAATCTATAACAAATATTTTAAAAATCCTCGCACCCAAATTGATATTTGAAACCATCACACCCAACTGCAAAGTATGATGCTTAAGCAATATCCTGTTCTGTGTACAACGTTAAACAAATATTGAAATCGTTCCTGATAATGTATTCACAATATAGGGGTATATACCAACAAAAAATGTGCATTTTCGCTTTGACATTTCCTTTTGAAGGTGCCCTTTTTTCTCCAGAAAGTGCCCCTTTTTGTTGTTGCCCCCCCCCCCCCCACTTTGGAAGTCGCTTAATCGCCCTTGGCCAAAATTATGCGTAGAAAACTCTTATCACTCGTTAGAAGATCTTGATAACTCGTTGGTAGATAGGTACAAGTCGTATACAGGTCATCGCAACTCATACCGAGCTCGCGTGACTCGTAATACGATTGGTTCACTCGTACATCCATCGTAGGAAACTCGATGTTGGGTCGTAGGTCACTCATGCAAATATGTAAATGTAAATAAAAAATTAGTACATTTCAAGCGAGTTCACGCGAGTGTACGGGAGTTCAAGCTCGCACCGCCACAACTCGAGGCTCCAACTCGGCTAAGTGGGAGCCCTGCTTGACATAGCAACAAGTAATACATACAAAGAGAATTCCATCCGTAGAGATGATATTATAAATTATGCATAAAGGGAGATTCAAAGTTAACCTGAGGTTTCGGGACACGTACAAAATAGACATGTTTACATACATATTCAAATGCTATGCATAAAGTTAAAACAAAGTTGTTCTTGAAAATCTGAAAGCTTGCCCGAAGCGTGTCCGATATAGCAACAAATAATGTATGCAGACTGGATTCTAAGTAAAGTAGTTCATTCATTAATGTACATGAAATAACTCGTCACTATAGGTCCCAAGTAAAGAAACGTCCATAAATTTGAATGTAAACGCAAACGCATTCGTCGTTTATTAGTAAACAAGTCTATTGCTGACTACGCACAAATTTCACATTCTAAAACCTAACCCCCACCCTTCTCCACACGTTGTTGACGGGAATTAACTGCAAATGATCTATTTCCCCTTCTTTTCACCTTTTTTGGGGGTCCCTTTTAGCTCTCCTTTTTTCCTTTTCCTTTTTTCTCTCCTTTTTTAGCGGGGATGGGGAGGCGAGGCTCTTTCGCCCCCCCCCCGCCCGATCACTCCTTGCCCCTTTTCTTTTCTTCTTCCTCTTCTCTCTTTCCCCTTTTCCCTTCTTTTCCTTCTCTCTCTCTCTCGCTTTTCTTTTTTTTTTCCCTTCTTTTTTTGTCCTCCTTTTTTTTTGTGTTCCTCCTTTTTTTTCCTCTTTTTTTTCCTCCTTTTTTTTCCTCCTTCCCCCCCCCCCCCCCCCCCCCCCCCTGGATCCGCGCCTGGATGCATACAATGTCTCCGTGCCTGATTATTCCGAAGGTTAGCTGTCCCGAAAATGAAATAGTATCCATTGTGTTCGTAAATCTGACAACAAAAGAGAATTCTATATTGCATTCTCGGAATTATGAACCTTGGAATCATGAACCCTATTTCATTTTCGTATGCACTTGTCATTGGTTAGCCATAAAAGAAGGTCGTGTATTAGGCCCAAGTAAACATTCTTCTATTTGGACAATGTAATGCTTCCCTGGATATAACGGGTTTGTATTCCGGATTAGGAAGATCTGTGGGGGAGATAAGATCCTATTGTTAAAAACCAGCTTCGCACGGGGTTTCCTGTTAGCTGTACTAGCTCCTGTTACTGGTGCATCACGAAACCATATTTCATTAGGCCATACAGTTATAGTAGTATAATATTCTCACAGCCGTCTAGCTGCATTGGTCATATGACAAGTAGGCCTATATCCAGGCAGATTGAGAGACAATATCTACATTTTCAACTGAAAGGTATGTAATATTTCTGTCCTGTTTATTTGGTAATTTTGGTTTATTTGCTTTATTTGGTATCTCACGACACACCCCCAACCGACCCACAAACCGACTTCATATCGACCAACTTTTTGGCGATGGAGGCGGAGGGAAGGGGGGGGGGGGTGGTAATGTAATTTTGTTAGGTATTCAGTAAGTGGTCCTTCTCTGTATTGGTGTGTGACTGATGTTTAACAAGAATCTGCAGTAGATGTTTGAAGGAACATATTTAGATATCTGTTCCCTGGTACATGTATACATAATCCTTTTTTAGTCACGATCGAGGGCATCGAACGTTTTACGAAACCGTCATAACCAGAAGTTCACCGAGGTTAATTTACAAACACTAGCAGGCGCGTACACAGGGGGGGGGGGGGGGGGGGGTTAAACACCCCCTTTGGTAATTTTTTGTGTGTAAACCCCCCCCCCCCCCCTAAATTTCTCTAAAACCCCTCCTTTTGGATTTTTTTTTTTTTAATTTAAAAAAAAAAAAAAAAAAAAAAAAAAAAATTCCCATGGTTGACCTAAAAAAGCAGACCTTACCCCCCCCCCCCCAACGGAGCAAAATGTCAAATTTTCAAATTTCATGAGAAATATATAACACAGAAACAATCGTAACTTATTTATTCAAAAATACTAAAAATATAGCAGTTGACATATCTATATTTCAATCATGCTAAACCGTCACGTACCCCAGAAGAGCAACAACTCATTTCTTCAATTTGAGTTCCGACCGTGATTGTAGTACAAACGATAATGTAGTTTGTAACATGTGAATGAAATACGTCACCACCACACTCACGCGGGAAGGAAGCAGCCATACATTTGAATACACTTTACTTGAAAAATGACTTCGCACATACGTCACGTTATCAAGAAAATGGCGTTGCCCATGTCATCCTGAGAAACTGTACATTATGCTAAGAATATCTTGCTTATACCTCTCGCATACACTTTGATGGGGAATCTTGTAGATTAATGGGCAAGAATACAATAAATATCTCAGAATACTACTTAAGTTATTTCTGTGGATGAGGCTATATTAAAGTCTTTGTGAAGTGCGAAATATGAATTATTTAATTCACCAGTTACAATACTTGTACTCGTACCTCAATAGTCAGAATGCTAATCGCGTAACAACACGGGCAAAACAACATAGGTGATGTTATATCATGCACAAATTATGCACAAAGTATAGCTGTCATGTTTTATTTAATTCTTTAAAATATCTATATAAGTATATGCTATTCTGTTTAGATTCAATAATAGACAAACAAGATGGATCGCGCTCACGCTCCCCAGGATTCGTCCAACGATGAAATGCCCAAACTTTATACCATGAACAACGGAAAGAAGGTAGGTGAAATTTGATCATTTTGTTGTTGTTGTTGTCTCCAATTTCTTGGAATCTGCATATCATCGTTACAGCTGCAACAAACACGAAAGACCTAAGAAAAACCAACGTAACGATTTCAAAGATGTACAAATTTACATTTGATTACATTACAAAAACGGCCTATTACGTCAATGTTTCTAAACTAAACGAAAATCATGTAGTGATAGTCATGACGTTATAGACCCAACATGGAGTATTGACAATAGTACACGAAATTAACAAAATTGTACATTCTTTAACGTATTACAAAGCATATAGCCTGATACAAAGTAACATGATAATATGAAATATATGAACATAATTATAACAGGACAAACAAACGAACGCATTATCACAATGGGGCTTGCATTTTGCACCTCGATAGGTAACCGGGGGGGGGGGGGGTGTTTCACAGAACTTTTCATCAGTGACAAATGACAGTTTTTGTTATAAGCTACTGAAATCCTCGTTTCTGATTGGTTATCAGCAGATTTGTCACTGATTTTTGTCATTTGTCATTGAAAAAAGGCTTTGTGAAACGGGTCCCTGTTCCAAAGTGTCAGGGCTGCGGAGAAGGCACAGTCTCCACATATTCGGGTCCTGGAGCAAATAGCAAGTGAACATTGAAATCTCGAAAACTTTTTATTATCATTATTTTATTTTTGCTCTTGCAGGTCACTCCAACTTTTTCGAAAGCAGAGATGGACCGTCGGATAGCGATGGTGAGGAAATACATGGCAGAAAATGACATCGGTGGAATCCTCTTCACCTCAATGCATAACGTGAACTACTTCTCAGACTTCCTCTATTGCTCCTTCGGTCGTCCCTATGGCTTGATCGTCACTGCAGACAAAGTCACAAGCATCTCTGCAGGAATTGACGCTGGACAACCCTGGAGACGGACCAGTACTGGAGGTAACGTCGTCTACACGGACTGGCAACGGGACAACTTCTGGACGGCCGTTCAGCAGGAACTGGCCGATGTGCCTTCGGGATCGAAGATTGGTTGCGAGTTCGACCACATGACGCTGGAGAATAAAGTGAAGCTCGACAAGGCTGTTTCGGGAAAGGGCATCGTCGACGTCGGAACACCGATGATGATGCGGAGATTGATCAAGTCTGATGAGGAGATTGCGCTGATCACTGAAGGTGCTAGGATATGTGATCTTGGAGGCAAAGCGGTGGTCGACGCCATTGCAGAGGGTGTTGGTGAACACGAAGTGGCCCTCCGTGGGACTGAGGCCATGGTCATGGAGATAGCCAAGAGTTTCCCAGATGCAGAGCTTAGAGATAGTAAGTCACAAAATCATCTGTCCATTCTTTTCTGTAACATTTTTGTTATTTCTCTTTATCCCCTTTATTCATGATATTTTGTTTGCCTTGTCTGCCCCTCTTTAGGGGGCACCAGTCTTACTCAGATACTGATTTACTAATAAGATGCATTTTCGGAAGAAGGTGTGGGTGGTGTCTTCTCTCCTCGTCCTTTCCCTCATCTGCTTTTCCCTTTCTCTCTGTTCTCGCTTGTAATTCTTTTTATTTTTCCACCACTTGATTAGGGGGCACGTTCCCATTGTGGCTATACACCACTGGGGCCAGTTTCCCGAAACCGTCATTAGTCTAAGTTCGTGGACATCCCATAGAAACGCGTGTTAATTCTATTACACACGTTGCAATCCCGGCCCCCCACACAGTGTTATTTAGGGTAAGCATATGCTCGTTCCCTCTTTTTGAAAGCACCCCCTATCTGAGGACTGCCAACATTTTCGAACCCCCCTTTCGCGGGCTTTTCACAGGCTTTTCCTGCCTTGGAGACCCCCCTAAATCAGGAAAAATGCTCAATGTACCCCCCTACATTCGGAATAATTTCTCAGGAGTCCAAAGAGATGAGAGAAAAAAAGAAAAAACACCCCCTTTTTAAAGAAATCTCCGGGTGAAAAGTCAAATACACCCCTTTTTTTTTTTACAATTCTCGGGCCGGACTTTGTCGCACGAAAAGTACCCCTTTACCGGACATTTTGGCAACACGCATGCGGTCATTCCGACCCCTGAGTGGGGGGCCGGGGTTGCAATAGGATATCTAAGAAGTTATTTATGACAGTTTCGAGAAACGGCCCCTGGTATCGCAATTTGTATATGTTCTTCCTCCCTCAGCCTGGATTTGGTTCCAATCTGGAATCAATACGGACGGAGCCCATAACCCTGTGACGTCACGCAAAATCCAGAAAGGCGACATTCTTAGTATGAACACATTCCCCATGATCGCTGGGTAAGATGAGTTTACACTTTACACCAATACCACTGATATTTGATTGATTGATTGATTGATTGATTGATTGATTGGGATCAAACGCAACTCTTAAAAAGACGGGCCCCTCAGTGATAATATAATACAGAGATGATAACTATTTACATTTTTCGTATTAAATAATTCTCATAATATAAATTTTCAGCGAGGAAAAGGAAAAAGAAAGAAAAGATAATCGTAAAATAATCTGATAATTACAATCATGTAATTCGATAGTCTAATATATCACGCTGCCTCCTGCGTCCTTTATTCTAGATATTACACTGCTCTCGAACGCACGCTTTTCTGCGACCATGTCCCCTCAGACCGTCACATGGAAGTATGGAAGAAGAACTGCGAAATCCATCGCCGTGGTATGGCCCTGATCAAGCCAGGTGTTCGAGTGTGCGACATCGCCGCCGAGCTCAACGACATGTATCGCAAATTCGATCTCCTCAAGTACCGGAGCTTCGGCTACGGCCATTCGTTCGGTGTGCTATGTCACTATTACGGCAGAGAGGCTGGTGAGAAAATATGTTTTTGTTCTTTTTTTAATCAATATAATACATAAATATGCTTTGAAGCAACTTTAGAAGAAGGGGAGCTCAAATTGCCCAACGGCGATTTATATATTTTTTCTTTCTTCAGTGGCGTATCTAATATAATAAAACAAACGGGGAGGAGAGGGGGGGGGGGGGGGCGGTACGCCGACTCCACCCTATAACGGTAGTGTTTCTCTTTCCCTCTCCTCCACGCTCTCTCTCTCTCTCTCTCTCTCTCTTTCTCTCCCTCCCACTCCCTCCCCCTCTCTCTCTCTCTCTCTCTCTCTCGCGTGCGCTCTGTCCCCTCCTCTCTCCCTTTTGTTTCCTCTTTCTCTGTTTCTCTCTCTCATCCCCGTTCTTTTCCCTTTCTCTCCTAGCTATAGATGAGAATCCTCAGAACCAACGAATGCCCGCTCGTGTTTTATATAGGCACACTGGCATATGAACAGTATTAAGAGGGGGCGGGCTCTCTGTTTTTGAGGGCAGGTATAGGCCTTTTTTTACCCTCGAAATGTCGGAAGTCCCTCATTATTTCCGGTATTTTGAGTCCTATAGCTGTGCAGTAATCTCTACTTAACTTTAGATGCTGTGTTAACCTTGCTGAGTTATCGATTCTATAATTTAGCAGACTCATGGTCAATCCAATAATAATTATGTTAACTATCAACATAGAAAGTAATAGCATTACCTGTTTTCAATTCAGTAGTTTCAAATATATGAATGAGTGCGAATATGCTAGGCCTATATCGAGTTGTGCTCCAAAAAGACAGGACCGATCTTGCATTTGGTAAACATGATTAATATGTTTCTTCTATTGCATGAAGCTCTGGAGATACGTGAAGACATCGAGACAGTATTAGAACCCAACATGGTGGTCTCGATGGAGCCTATGGTCACCATACCCGAAGGAGAGCCTGGTGCAGGAGGCTACAGGGAACACAACATTCTCGTCGTGACCAAAGATGGCGCTCGAAACATCACTCATTTCCCATTTGGTCCAGAGCACCTTGTCGTCAAAAAATGATATTCTTACAGGGAAAATATTAAATATGGCCAATCTATTTGTATAAGCAAGTGTTATCGTTCAGTGTAATACAATGGGCATAACTCCATCTTCGGTGGGGGGGGGGGGAGGAGTGGGGTGGACAAAGGTCCCTCCCAGCAGATTAACTCACTCCCCCAATGTCAAATAAGTTTCGCTCTAAGATTGAGTAATCGATTAGTTGTATAAATATGTTTCAAAACTGGTAGAAAGAGGAAAACTAAATAAATGGAAGCAAGTAGAAGGGAGAGTTAATCATCATATTCGTAAGATGTAGACCGTACGTATAGTGAGAAACCATTTTTCTTAGTCATTCATCATCATACAAATACATATAACTCTACTAAATTGGTGGCATATCCAGAATATAGGACAGAGCTGTTGCCGTCGTACCCCAAAATAATTTCCCATCAAGAAGATTTTTTTTTTTAAATAGTAGCAGGCGAATAATAACACGGTATGAATGTCTCAATATTTTCTTTGTTGCATGCCATTACCCAGCTGCGGTAATCCAATGTCGCGCCCGGGACAAGCAATACAATTTTCGCATCTATAGGCCCTTTAAAAAAGCACCTGACTTTGGACTCCGTGCAAGTAATTTTTCCACCGATCAATTATCAACAAGAAATGGAAAAATTCGGTAAAAGACTCCAAATGTTATTGCCATCAAACATGTCTTTTAGCTTACTCAAACTGTATATTAGATGTATTTCCTAAAGATAGTCTAATTCTATCAGAATTATGAATAAGCATTAGGGAAATCATTTATTGTTTAAAAACTACTATCCTCATTCCTCCGGATACTTGTTTGTTTTATATAATAGCACGTAGCTACTTTGAGTTATAGACGGCAGGCCTGCATGTACCAGTGGCGGATCCAGCCGGCGGGAAGCTACCGGTGGGGGGGGGGGGGGGGTGAAGGAGGCACTTTTTTTTGTCCAATTTTTTAGGAAATATTTTGCGCCGACTCAGTCAGCCGGTGAATAAGTGGGGGGGGGGGGGGGGATGAGACCACTATTTTTGTTTTTTTCACCTAATTCGTGAGAATTTTGTTTTTTGTTTTGTTGTTGTTGACCCGCCAGCCCCCCCCCCCCCGTGGATCCGCGCCTGCAGAGGATCCAGACGGCGTCAAGGGGGGGGGGGGTAGCCAAATCTTAATACAACATTTCGTGCCGACTCAGCCGGCCGGCGAATAAGCGGGGGGGGGGGGCGCTTTCGTTTTTTGTTTTATAAAGGTTAACTTTACATTATTATCCTATTTTTTTTTATCGTTTTGAGGGGCTGGGGGGGGGGGCGGGCCGGAATAATCGCTACGTGGATCCGCCCCTGGCATGTACTGAGATTCAAACCATGTCAAACTTGAGATTTATATTATTCGTAAATAAAAAAGAATATATGTAATTGCAAAACTAACGTATCAAATTATTGCAACTTTTCTAACTTTGATTTCTTTTATTTTATAAACAGATTAATTTTTAAGAAAATGTTACTAACATACCGTTATGATTTATTATGTAATGTGAAATTTAAAATAAAATATACGATGAAATGTATCATTTTTATTAATTTATTGTTCAGTAGAAAATCATCGTGTATTAATCACGATCGCAAATCAGTAATTTCGAAAAAGCAACTCAATGGCATTTCAATTCCCTATTGTATATTCCAACGAGCTCATGTTCAGATTACGTAATACGTCATTTTAATGTTCGCGCGTTTCAAAAGGTGGTGGAGAGGGCCACTGAAGTTGCTTTAAACATTTTTGTTCGAAAGTAGGTGCGCGTGAGCGCCACTTTTTTTTAGACCCCTCCCCAGGACATCGACCAATAACATGTATGTGCCCCCCCCCCCCTCCCCCCCCCCCCCCAAACATCAAACTCTGGCTACGGCCATGGTGATCGTGTCAGGCGGGGGGGGGGGGGGGTCACACAGACTATGATCGACTTTAAGTTGGACTTAGCTATGGCAGGCCAATCATGCCACTGGTTGATCTCACCATTGGTCTCTTAATTATCATCGTCAGATAATATGATTAATTGCAATATTAAGACGGGGCCCTGGATATATAAATGCCTACATCGCTGGGATCAAAGTAGAATAAGCAAATGACAGACATAAAGAACAGACCCCAGTTTATACATATCATCATATAGAAGGTTCTAGATTCTAAATCACTGGGAAATCGATAACATGGCGTTGGATGTGGATAGAATAATCAGCACAGGCCATCAAGTACATGTAGGAGAAAGAGAGAAAGAGAGAGGGAGAGAGGGAGGGAGGGAGAGAGAGAGGGAGGGAGAGAGAGAGAGAGAGAGAGAGGGGAAGGGTAGAGAAAGAGAGAGAGAGACAGACATACAGAGGGAGAGAGAGAGAGGGAGACAGACAGAGGGAGAGAGAGAGAGAGAGAGAGGAAGGGTAGAGAAAGAGAGAGAGAGAGAGAGAGAGAGAGAGAGAGGGAGAGAGAGGAAGGGTAGAGAAAGAGAGAGACAGACAGACAGAGGGGGAGGGAGAAGGAGAGAGAGAGAGAGAGAGAGAGAGAGAGAGCAAGAAAGCGAGAGAGGGGGCGAGAGAGAGAGAGAGAGAGAGAGAAGGGGGGGGGGCAGCGAGTGTCGAAAAGGTGAGGGATAGAATCAAACATAAGGAATAAAAAGATAGAATAAGGGAGAATAGTCTGCTGACATTTTGTCTATCTCTCTCTATATTCAGTTGCCTTAGGATTCAGTAGACATGCTCTTCCACAACTCTCGGTAATCAGTTCCAATCGTGGTCTTCCAGATTAAGTGCCCCTTTTCCCTCTTTTCTATCATTGCTAGTTGACTTAGGTTGTCATAAAATTGTCTCCAAATCTCACCTGCATCCTCCTAATTTTTTTTTCCCCATGAAAAGAAACCTGCAAGTACTAACTTACAATCATCATCTCTCGCTGCATATCCCGTCATTCCCTCTCTTCCTCAGCATTTTTTATTTCTTTTCTCTTTTTCACCATCATCCCCACTTCAAGGTTTCAATAATATCTCCTTGGTTTTTTCTCATCTTGTCCATTTAGAATCTAGCTTATCGTTTCTACATCAAAGTAATGTTGGTCAACCATCAATGCAACTTCCCAAAACCATTCTCCCAGTATAGTTTACCGTATCAACTAAGAAAACGAACAAACAAACAAACCTAAGGCATTAATTGATTTCTTTTCTTTATTCAGCCCATTATAAAACTGCAGAAGTCTGATTATCTCAGACATTTTCTTGACCACAAACACATTTACTGTTGCCATATGAGTCCAATGAATTCCATACAAATCGATCCTACATTAATTTTGCATTTCTGAGATATAACACATATCTGCATAAAGAACTTGCATGTAAGTATAGTACTTTAAGAACACACTAAGTGCTGAATGGCACCTTATAGCATCTTAATTATGTAAATGCACTATACACCCTAGTTTGTTTTGCTCAAAGAATGAAGCACAGGGGAATTGGGCAAGTTGAAGGGCACAACTGAAGAAAAAAATCTTTAATTTAGAAATAAATCAATTATATCCTTCAATTTGAGCTATATTTGTTATCCTTATCATACATACATATTGTAATGTTGTTATTTCAGAGACACCATAATGTTGAGTGTCAGTCTGTTGTGTGAACCAGATTCTACAAATATAACCTTAAGATAGTTTCAGAAATATAATCCATCGTATTTGTGGTTAAAACCATTTGCTTTACTATTAGAAAATGTTGGGAGGCAAAAGAGATTATAATCTTTGTTCCTTATTGATCAAACCCCCTTTCTACCATAATGTATTTGTATTATGAAATTATTAGAAAACTTCTTTCACAAGTTACATTAATTTTTTGTTTTACAAAACATAAGCATAATGATCATTATAAATATGGAGAAAAAAAAACACTTGACAGATTCATAAAAACAATATAAATAATTGAGTATGTAGATTTAACAAAAAAAATCATTCATACCCCTGGTTAATATAAAGTTTTTTTGTTTTTTTCCTAACTCAAGAATGAAAGGCGGACGGGTTGAATTAGGGCCTTTGTTGAATACTTTTAGATATACATTGTAAGCTGTAATATGTCACATTTTCAAGAAACATATATCAGGAAAAATCTTTTTTTCACATGCTTGAAAATTACAAAACTTGGTAAGGGTATGAATAATTTAGTTTACTTCATATTAGATTAAATGTTTAGAAAATGACCAAAAAGAATTCATATAAATCTTTTGTGTTTATAATTTACATATGTGTACTTGTGTACTGAAATAAGTATTGTTTAAAGTACATGTTCAATAAACTTGTACAAGTGACAAAAGTTGACTGTGACAATCAATTGTTTGTTCGATTAGTCAAACCAAAGCAGGAAAAGAGATTCTCTGCAGCTGAAGATCCATCACGTAAATTTCAACCTTCATAATGGCTTGTTTCGTCTTACACTTGACTTTTTCCTGATTGGTGACAATAATTCCAATCCATGCTCAAGTTCATCCTGGTCTCCAGGTACCTCACCAAAATCATTGGTCCGCTTTGTTCCTCTAACCTGGTTCAAATTGCTCGCATTCTCTTGACCCTTACCACCACGGCTTCTCCCTCTAGGGGTCTTTGTGGAAGATCCTCTGCCTCTCTTGGAATTGCTCATGGTAGCTCCACTAGTTTCGCTGTCACTGTCACTTGATGTCGGATGGCTGCCACTTGCCTTACCCCGACTGCTTCTCCCTCGAGAGGCCTTTGAGGATGATCCTCTGCTCCTCTTGGTCCCCTTGAAATTGCTTGTGGTAGCTCCACTGGTTTCGCTGCCGCTTGCTCTTTCAAAGGCATCACTCCTTTGGACATCTTTCATGGGATACTGTCCCATTTCTGGTCCATTCCTTATTCCTGGAAGAACAGCTGAATCCTTTCCTCCCTTCAGCTGCAGAGCTAGACTCTGGCCTTTGGCAGCCCCACCCTTTAGTACCTCTTTGGGTTGGTGATCAGCTGTAGAGGATGACCCTGAGGGGTTGACTGGTCCTAAAAGCCCTGCCATAGACTGCAGGGGGTTCTCTGCAACATTGGTGTCCTCAATCTCAAGTGACTGCTCAATGTTGAGGATACGTTGGTGCATGGCACACATCAGCACCTGCAGCTGTTAACAGGAAATCAAAGCATATTATTCACAATGGCAAATTACAATAACAAATAATAATAATATTTAATTTTTATATAGCGCTTCTTACAAATGTCTGTAAGTGCTTTAAAAATATACTATTACCCCCGTCATTGGATTCAGTGCTTGCCCGCACACACTGTGTGCACAATCTCCACTCCCTGGGGAGCATTCCAGCCAGGCGTTACATGACGCTCAAAAAGAGTTTGACCAACAATGATGTCATGATGCATCTAAAAAGAGGTCTTGAAACTCTACATGGCATGATTTACAATAACAGATGAAAATAAAAAATAATTGTGAAAATGTGACCAGGAACATCCAACTATTTTATAGCTGGTACTTAAGTGAATACAGGATAGGAAGTCAATTAGTTGAACATGTACATACCTTAAGTGTTGTTTCTTTCAATGTCTTCAGGTTTGTGTATTGCTGGAAAGAACTTTCTGACTCGGGGAGGGCTGATGAATCGGAAGAACCAACTTGGTATCTGGGAGTGAAGATTAAGAAGGTGACAAAATCACATGATGGTAATTTTAATGTCTCATATTAAAGTGCCAAAAGCTACATATTTTCTACAAGAATGGACACTTGAAATTGAACTACATGTAAGGGGAAAAACAAACTTGAAAATTAATGAAAAAAGTATCACGGTTTAATATTTATGTTAAAAAAATTAATAAAAAATTTCTATTAAATGATAGTACTTGTTCTGAATTTAATTGTACAGAGTAGTCTTATTCTCTAACTTTGGGAAAACGAAGGTTTCATCCTAATATTACATTGTATAAATAGCAGTAAGGCGTACAGTAATTTGTTTTTAAATATGTAAAAGAACAATATAGGTCAACTACTCAACTTACACTGAAAGTTTGTTGACATCGAATGTGAAGTAATCTCGGAGGTCATCCAGAGGTCGTGGGGTCGTTCTGTACACTTTCCCCAGCACTGTTTTACACCCCTGGCAAACCAATGGGCTGAAGGTACTGTGTGAAAAATATGAGAAAAATAACTATCTCAGCTAAACAAGCAATGCAACTAGCTGAGTATCACAAGTCAACACATTTTTCAAGCTAGTCATTCTCCTGAAGACGATCAGAGCATATTGATTGAAATGTCAAGAACCAATCTTAGCTGAGCTCACTAGCAGTTTTCAGGGTTTTTGTTCCTTTGAAAGAAAGACACGATGTGACCCTGCCCTACAAAAATTCCAAAAGTGCATCAATGTCTGCCTGACAAGTCAATTCATGCAAGGCTTAATCCATATGTAGTGATCACTGATCAAGTGACTTTAGCAAACAATAGTCATTGAAGGTGAATTTGTGATTGAAATAAGTGGCCCTGTACCAAAGGTCTGCTACATTGTAGTCTGCATGGCTACTGTTGTATTTTATAGCAAAGGTAACTGAAAACAATTTCTCAAGAAAATAGCAGTGATTGGTATTGTTGGCAGTGAATGACTGCCAAATTAGACGGTAGATTACTTGGAATACTACTGTCAACAGATTCTATAATTCCAGCATCCATCCTATTTGATATATTGTTACTATAACCCAATCTTAATAGCGGGATTAATGTAGGTATTGGAAATTTCCTCAAACAGGTTTTGGATATAAATTGCTCCTAGGGACCCAAATAAAGTGGAAATGGTTACAATGGATAAGGCTTATCTAGCCAACAATTGTTTGTGTCTACAGCATATTTTGGTGGCAAGACGAGCAGCTTCATAAAAGTAAAACTTTGGCCATGGGGTTTCTTGAATACAAACCTTCCTTGGTCGATGCCATCTGTAGATGTGATGAGCTTTGTTGATAATTCTACAGATGAGTTCACTCCTGCATGGGCATGAGGCAGATCAAAGAAAAGAAAATAGGCATGGGATGATAACCGGTACAGCATCAGCAATACGGAAGCGAACGTAGTAAGGCACTCCTGTAAGTCTTCCAGTCGCTTATAATATATCTGAATGTATGTAGATCTAATACTAGTATATTTTTTGTACAAGTTGTAATCAGAAGTTCAGAACATAATTTGGCGGTGTCTAACAATACCAAAACAAAAGTGGTTAAGAAGTAACAACATGACCGCATGACTACTACACAGCGTATATGCATGTAGAGGTGTATTAGGAACCATCGATAATAAAACACACTTAATTATATAGGATAACCCAACATTGGTAAGATATTTTTCTATTTTTCCATATGAGAAAAAGGATGTTACATTGATTGTAGCATGGATATGGGTGAGGGTCTGAGGCCTGAGAGAACAGTAATGAAATATAATGATCAGTAGTATTTGATGAATAAATTAAATGAATGGACAGATAGTGAAATGTGGAAATTTGTCTATAGAGTAGCATGAGGGCTTTGACACTCCAGCAAAGCATAGACATTGAGTGATTTCATGTTGGGTGTTTAAGGCTGGTGTTAGTGTTTAATAAACACTAACATCAGCCTAAACACCGAAATGGAAATCAGCTGGTGTTAAGGCTTTGACCTCTGAATATCGTCAACTTCCGGTAGCTAGTGTTATCGATTTTGCAAAATTGTCGTCTGCTGAATCGACCTTTGTGGCTGGTGTAAATATTTTACGTAAAAATGTCCTATTCACTAACACTAGCCCCTAGGGATTAGCAAATTTTTATTTCCAGTTCGGTGTTAGTGTTGTACTCGCACACATTCAACGCACGAACGACGCCAATTTATTGTCTGACGATCAAATAAAAATATGTGAAACACGTAATTCCTATATTCTTTCGTGTAAAATTAGTTATTTTCTAAGACCAGAGAAATAGGTGTAAATTTATTCTGTACTTTTCATGATATCTTTAGTTTTGATGTACTAATTTTAAATCATGGTCGTAAAATCAAGTATGTAGTGACGTCACGGCTGGTGTTAAACTATCGATTTTGATATAGGTATCGGGCTCTTAATTTCATCAGCAAATTCTCCGCTCGATTTTAAGAGGTCTTGACTGCTCTAAACACTAACACTAACACTAACACCAAACTTGAAATCACTCATTGACTCTCTATGATAGAGAGCTCAATGCTAATGTGTATTGACCTCTAGTCTAGCACGGTACTACATGTACATGTTAAAAGAGGCAGCAATTGCACACATGAATAGTCAATACACACATTGCACACAATGAATATGATGTGGCTGATCGGCAAGTTTGACAGACTCACGATTTGAATTTTCAAATTACTCTTTCCAACATCTGTAAGTTGAAAAATTGTATTTTTACTCCTAGTACCTTACTAGTAGGTGTCGCACTCACTAGTCACAGTACAGATTTTGAGTGAAATCAGTTGAGTTACGTAAAGTGGTGTTTTAAAAGGTTGAGAATCAATAGAACAGTTTTCAATACACAGCCAGGATGGTATTAATGCAGCTAGACCTATGTGTGGTTTGACGGGAGGTTTTTTATAAACCGGGAGAGTACATCGAGGCGGGATCGGAGAGCTGGGGGGAAGGGCGTGGTGCATGGTGGCGGGCGTCAGGGGCCCGTTCCTAGAAACCGTCATAAGTCTAACTTCTTGACTATCCCATTGAAACGAATGTTAATTATATAATACACGTTCCAATGGGGTAGTCAAGAAGTTAGGCTTATGACGGTTTCTAGGAACGGGCCCCTGGGCTGGAGGTGGCGTGAGACTCGCTCCAAACATGCCAAATGCGGGAGGGTTGACAGCCCTGCTATGCTGGTATCAGGCTATATACTCACGGTTCACTGTGATGGACTTCAAGTCATCATGAGCAGCCGTGAATGCTATGGAATCACTGATTATCACATTGCAACGTTGACACTGAAAAACAGCAGGCAGATCCTTGTCAGGGCAATCACTTTCTGGAATTTCTGCAGTCTCCATGTTTTGAGTTTCGCAGATTGTGTTCATGTTTGCGTTTTCCCAAGTCCTTCTGATTATTTTAAAGGTATCGAATTGGTCGCTCAGATTGCTGTAATCATAAAGATGATAATATTTTTGAAAATAATAATATCTTAATTAAATCACATCTACATAGCTCAATAACCCATCATCGTGTACCCTATAAATAAACATATCTAGATGTTTGTGGGGGAAAAAGGGTGAGGTCTGATTTAAAGTCTAGCAACAACATCGTGTATGGTAAGCCATTTCGGGTTAAGGTTTCAAACGATTACGACCGATAAAGAGAAATAAACGCTACGCTACAATTTGCAGGATATCTTTATACATTGCGTAAGTTCTGTAATGTATATAGCTGTGTTCCATTTTTTTGGAGGAATTGTGAAAAACCCTAGTTGCTACTAGACGACTATATACCATAATAATTCTGAAATCAGTCGCTCTCGCGAATATCCACCGGAAAACAACAGACTTTGTCGCCTGACGCTTCGGCGCAGATTATTGTAGTGCAGCGCATCGTCGCCGTCGTGAGCAGTTCAGTTGCAGATTGAATTGAAGTTGGCATGGCAGCTTTTCTTTATCAGTTATCATCTCTCGTATTCAAGGGGAAATCACCGTTTCTATTATTTCCACTCAACTACAAACATGTTAACTTTCACTTTATGTTCTCTGCACGTTCTACTGCTAAAATATTGCCTTTCCAAATGAAAGGGCAATGCAGAAAACTTGAGAAGAGTGCTCCAACAAAATGTAACAAAATCGCCTGGAGCTGGACTGACCAACATCAATTTTTGGCCGTTGAACGTTCAGTATTTCAAAACCAGTGTGTGTGCTATTATTCAAAGAAGACGAAGTCAAAACAAAAACCTGTCAAGAGAGGTATGGACTCAGATGATGAAACTGATGATGAGGAGAAGGTTGACAGCGACGTTGATGATTCTGAAGAAGAAGATGAGATTGATGGTGCCAAGAAAGACTGGAAAGATTTGAAGATGAATGTTCCATCTTTGAGGATAGATGCTGTCTTGAGCTCTGGTCTTGGAGTATCTAGAAAGTAAGCTTCATGAAATAATTTTTACATTAATTGGATGGTTTTACTTCACATTTTTAAAAGGCTGGTGATAGATGGCTGGTGATAAAAGTGATAACAATCCTGGATAGATTAACTCTGTTCTTTTTATTTTATGAATTGTTAATGTTATTCAAGTTCATCTACCCAAAGTATTTTGGATTTTTTTCTCCCCCTTTTATAGAATAACTAATGGCAAAAAAAATGAAAAATCATATTCATTTTTTGTAATTGTGCAAATCTGATTCCGATGTTTGTATCCTCAGGAAAATTGAGGAAGCATTTCTCAAAGCTAAACTGCGACACAACGGCAAGAAAGTGATGAAAAAGAGTCGACAGGTGAGTTCAACAGACATTCCTTTTTTAAAACTTTTGTTCAAATGTTGCATGTGTCTTCATTGTATTGTATTTTTTTGATAAATTGGAATTTTGAATAATAATGATAATGACAAAATGTGCATTGTTGAATGCTCAAAAGTTAATTTTTCTTTTGAAAATAACTGAAGATACATTAACAATATATGTTAATACATTCTTTGGAAGAAAAATCCTTGCCCATATTGATTGTATACTGTAAAACACATAAAACCTTTTATGAGCAAAGTTACCCAATCCCTTTAAATACAAAGCTAATTAACATATATCATGGTAATTGTTCCTCTTTCAGGTACAAGAGGGAGATGTCTTGGATGTCGTGAAGGAAGACCGCATCACCAACAAAGAAGGAAACCACATCACGCTCGTGATGAGGGTGGAGATGAAGAAAATCAAAGAAGAGAAAACACCATCAGACAGGACGCCTGTAAAACTACGTAGGTGGAAGCACTTAGAAATACCTAGAGAAAAGTGATTCATCTGTGTTGCTTTGTACTTTTTTAGCGGTAACTGATTTTCATTTTAAGCTCCCTGGCCTCTACCTTACAGTTTTCTTACTATTCTTGTAGATAATCACAGCCCCATAGACCTTCCAGTTTTCATTAGATGTTTTTTTTTCTTCTGAAACCTTCATGTCATCCCTGCATGGTTTTAACTGTCCCAGATTATCCAATTCTATATTTTATCTAATATATTATCCTTCTACTGTACTTGGGTGTCAAAATAAGTGATGTGAATTCTAAAGATATTAATCATGGAACCATATTGTATCCAGCTCCACAATTAAACAATATTTTTCTGCCTGGAAATTTGTCTCAAAGATTTATTTGTGATGTAATTTGAAAACTTGGTTGCACTATAAAGCGTGGGAAATATTTACAACTTCAAGTTTTACAAATAGTTGTGTCAAGTTATATTAACTCTCAATTATGAAAGATAGAACAGGTACCAAGTAATCAGTAATGATATGCTGTTAAAGGTACTATGTCCCTTTTGCAGCCAACCTCAAATGCTGTAGAACTTTGCAGGAATTATGAATATGTCATGTATGTCCTATCTGTGAAATTTAAACGTTAGCAGTGTCCTCATGTTCAAATTATGCAAGGAAACTTGTTTACTTGCTAGACTTCACCGACACTATTGAGTGACTGACTGACTTTTTTTCTTCTTTGGTAATAACAACATGAAAAGAGTTGTAAAGGGTACATGAGTATTTGTCTACATCAATTACCCCACTTCTTGTGATGGCCAAGATTAAACTGATTGAATCTTTGCGCAGCATAAAACGTATGACCACTGATTCGGTACAATTGTCTGAAAATCAAGACTATTACTTTTGGGCTCTATAGCCCTAAAGTCGATTTGACAACTAATAGTCCTTATTTTCCCACTTGAAGACATTTTCAAGCCCCACCTTTTTTAGGGAAGTTCTAAATTATTATTATCTTTCAAATGCAGTTGGAATTTAACTTTTTCATTTTTTTGGCCTGCAAATGAGTCCCTTTAAGTATAAAGTAAATTAAATAAATCCTTAGTGGATGAGGAACGTCATAAACTCATAGATGACAGATAGAAACATACATGCATACAAACTGCACATCTTAAAAAAATGGAATAAGCCTACATGGTGCCTTTTATAGAAAATTATATTTTGAGAAATTTCTGTATTTGGGATATTATGGTCTTGAACATCTGTAAATAGTTTATTGTGTATTGTGGGAAAGAGGAGAGAAGTCTTACTTAGCCCATTTCCATAAACTACATGTAGGAAAGCAGAAATAATGTCAGTCTTATTTTGTCTTCAGTATTATGCCCCACCCCACAGTATCAAGAAGAAAAAAATGAATGTAAACAGTGGTTAAAGTGCTTTTGTTTTATATCATTTCAGTATGGATCAAGAAGAAATTATCAAAAATGATTGACTTTTTCAACCTTCATTATAACATTTATGTGTGTGGATATGTGCTCACTTTGAGCTGTATTTCTGATGGAATAAATGGAACTTTATATATCACTTTTTGTCTGTATTAATTCCTACTAAAAATAATTGAATCACAAGGCCAGATTTTTTCAAAATGTCATACCTATAAGTCTAAGTTTGTGAACATGATCAAGCCATCCCGTCAAAAATATACAGTTACAGTTGACCTTGAGGTGGCGCTAGAGGGGATTTTGCAGTATACTTTTAGTATAGCATGATTTTAAATCGAGCTGAAATCCAGCATCGAGTCGAAGCTAATTGGCAAATTGTGGACCACACGCCTATGTATGAGAATGATATATCATCAGTAGATTTTGCTGAACTGGAATGCGTACCGAGGTGTGTGCATAATGAACTTGTTGTTCAGTAAACAAAAAGATAAATGATTTTTCACAATCTTTAAAAAAAAAACTGAATAAAACTATGACCTCTGCATCATTCATAAACTACATAAAATGTACAAATATATTGGGTAAAATAGGTCGTTTGGAGGCATGATTTGAAGTGTGCTAGACTATCAATCTCACAAAGAGGGGAAGCAATATGAAAAGTTAAACATCACAAAAATAAGCAGAGGGCCAAAGTCAGAAAACGGGTTTGCCTGCCACTACCACACAAATTAAGCATACCTTGTTCATTCAAAAGATTTGATCATAATACACAATATTTCTGAGGTGCTTTTTTATTATTATTTGTAGCAGTCACCCCTAAATCTGAATTAACAACACAACAAAAAACATCAATGAAACATTTCAAAGAAAAGGGAGAGGAAAAATATACCTTGCTATAATAACGAAGAGCTTGTATTGATGAGTATGTTTTAACAGTGTTTCTTACGTGTTTCCACGGTACACACTTTACACTGTTCATGTGTGAAGACGAATGTCACAAAACAAGAAGAAGCAGAAAAAACAAGTAAATTTGGTAATAAATCCAATATACAGCTTATTTATTTAAGAAGAACATAACCTTGAGATTACGAATGCTTGATACAGGTGGATGATGAAAAAAGGTCAACAAATATAATCATTAAGTTGTGTGAGGCATTTTCCTTGAGACTGAATACACATGATTGCATGTATGGGTAATAATTATAATAATATTAATAATTAAACATTTATATAGCACACATATCTGCCTATAAAGACACTCCAGGCGCACCAAAAAGATTCACTACTAACATTTCAAATACAAACAATAAACAAAGTTAAATTATTAACAAAATAATAATAAATCAACAAATCAAATGACAAATGCAAATTAAAGATTCAGTAGCTTGCCACCTTCACTTAATGTCAGGAAAAGAAGGAAAAAAAAAATTGAAAGACAAGAGATACATGTACTGTTTAACTATACAAATTAGAAAGAAAGAGTTATTCTACCTACATAGCAATTCAAAATTTTGAAATGTTTGGAAATTTTTAAATTCCAATAATTCAAAATTTAGGAGGGTAGTTGTCTCTTCAGACTTTGTTCGCATTTCACTTTCACAGAGATATTTAATCTTTCTATCCTCCATCAAAGCAAAGTTTCATGTGTCTTTGATGACTTAAGTACTAGCAGATAAAGTGTGTTCAAAGTAAATAATAAAAGTAGTTCATTGGTTTATTGACCTTTCTTTCATACTTCTTGAATGAAATTTCAGATATGTAATGAACTAAGCCATAAATATGATTTAAATTGTAATCTAAGCATGAACAATTAAAATCTTTATCAGAAGTTACTTAAAGCTCAAAATAAAATACATGTATCAAAATCTACAGAAAATTATATTGACAAAAAATAAAATATACAAAACATAAAATTGCAAGAATTATTTCAGATTGAG